CTGGTGTGTGCCTTTGTGCTGTAGTTTATGATGTAACTTTATGCCAAGACAGCAGCATTTCCTTCTCAGATGTTGAACCGAGGGGCACGATAGAAGTTAGAATAAGGGTATTCTGGTAAAATGCCTTCACTGTCATCTTCTTTTTTAATGGTTGAGGTTTTTCTGGTGCTGGTTTGAGGAACAGTTAAGAAAAGGATAGTGTATAATCTGTTATAGTAGGCTTGACATCCGACTCGTAGGCTCAGAGCTGCTGTGGGGTGCTGAGTCCTGGATGAGTCACTTCCCTCTCTGTTTTCTGTAATGGAGAAAGAGAAGATAAGGTGTTCATGCAAGTTGCAAAGCATGCTCAGGATGCTGGAGTTTGTAAGAAACAAGATCTGTATGTCTCTATTGTTGAAGGTTTACCATGACTTCAAATTCTACCCTAGACCTAGAGCAGGGCTGGAAGTTTTAGTCTGTGTTTTGAAGCCCCTCTGTGGCATGGTCACATTCAACAAACTTGATAGTGACTCCAATAGCTCTCCAGTTTCTCATGCTAAACTCTCAGTCACCTGAGTGTAAGTCATTGTTGACTAACAGCTGAAATTTGGAGCTAGTTCTTTTCACTGGGTTTGTCTCTTTTGCTATAATTAGGGAATAAAAAGAAGGATAACAACATAACTTTCTTTGGAAAACACAAATTCAGAATATAACAAATTAAATACAAGAACCAGTTCTAGTCCTTCCCAAATAAAACATGCTGGCATTTATGATATTACTCTTCTAAGTGCACACATTTATACTGTAGCAGCTTTTTATGAAATTATCCATGACCATATCTGTTTATATCTGCATCAGTGACTACTGGTCAAACACAAAAGGCAAAGGTCTGTCTAGCCCCATATCCTGCCTCTTGATAATGGCTAATAACCTGTGTATGGAAAACAGGACAAGTATGGAGTGATACTTCCTTTTGTAAACCCTCCCAGCTTCCAGTGGTTTTTGTTACAGAGACCTTCCTGAGCTGGAGGCTGCAGCTGTATCATTGTTTTTGAGATTTCTTGATGGACCTTTTTCCATAAAATTGTCTAATGGTTTTTGTAAAACCCACTTGTCCTTTTGGCTGCCATAACATCCCGTGGCAATGAGTTCCACAACATCATTAGACATTGTGTGAAAATTAACTTCCTTTTGTTTGCTTTTGAACTTGCTTGCTGCCTGCCAGTTTGAGTTGGTGCCCTATTATTTCTGTTAAGACTACTTTTAAATAATCATTGCTGTTTACGTTTTCCATGCTGTAACAGCATGTCTGGAACTTAATTGTTATTATCCTTGTTTTCCAGGTTGAACGGCCCTGGTTTGTTTAAGTTTTCCTTGTGCTAAGGCTTTCTAACACCTCTTGTGCACCTTTGGTACACCGTAGCCCTTTCTGTGGCTTTGTATTTCCACAATTACTGGAACTGTGCTCAGTATTGGAGGGATAGGCATACTATGGATTTATTCAGAGAAATAATGCCATTTTCTGCTTTGTCCTCATTCTTCTAGAAATTCCCAACAGGACAGTTTTCCCCAACTGCTGACTCTGTGCTGTTTGTTTTGGAGAGTGATCCACTTCTCCAGGATTTCTTTCATGACTGATTTGAAGCATGGTAAGAATGGCTTTTTCCTCATCCATTCTTTTTATGCATGAACCTTGAGTTAAATTTACTGTTTTAACATCCACTCACTGAATAAATTTTAGGTTTCATTTTTGGGAATGGCTTTGTGTCATCAGCCACCTACCTACAGCTTTTCATAGAGTCATAAAATCATAGAATCAACCAGGTTGGAAAAGAGCTCTGAGATCATCAAATCCAACCCTTGATCCAACACTGCCATGGTTACTAGACCTGGACACTGAGTGCCACAGCCAGTCTCATCTTAAAAACCTCCAGCGACGGTGAACCCACCACCTCCCTGATCATTTATGGAATGTGAAACAGCAGCAGTCCATCACAGACCCTATTCTGGGTCTGTTGGGAGCTTCCACCATCACTGGTGCTGAACATCCATTTCTCTTGGTTATGATCACCAGTTATGTCACTTATTCTCTCTTTCATTCTTGCAGTAAGGCTCATTTATGAGCTGGATTTCATACCATAGTTAATAGTCTGGCAATTTCCCATGTGATACCTGTAGGATTATCAGTTAATCCTCATGTCATGTTTTCATCTGTGCTGCTGCCCTAAATTCATTCTCCTTGCAAAAGAGCTGTAGGTCTGTATTGAACACGGATACAAAGATTCACTGAGCTTTCTTGCTATCACCTCATCACCTGGGACTGGTTTTTAAATGCCTCAGTCCTTGGTGCTGTGAACTGAGGCACAGATTTACACATTGGAACGTTGTCTGTAATCTTCTGTGGTCAAGTTGCTCTGGGGCTTTTGGCCCAGTATCTCTGTATCTGTCTTTAGGAATGACACTGATTCTCTTACTGGAGAAATAAACTGAAATACGTTGGTGTGTGATGTGGAGTTGGAAGTCTAAGCTCAGAATTATTCTAGAAGTGGATGATTCACTGGGACATCCTAAAATAAAGAGGACAGGGAGAGAAAAGGGAAAAATAAAGTAAACAAGCCCCCCCTCTTTTCCTACTTATGACCCCCTCTTTTCCTACTTATGCTAACAGGCTCCAGTTTTGGCATTTTGGATGACTGAAGTTTTTCAGTTTAACTGTTGTGTGAGTTATATTACTCAAGTTCATTTATATAGTACTGGATTAATTTGTATAAAGAAAATTATAAAGAAACACAGAAAAACATTTAAAAATGTAAATAAACTGACTTTCTAATTATTCTGTAATTATTCTTTTTTGTATAGAAATTCTCTATACCTTACTAGGTTTGTTCTTGTCTCTAATGAATCAGTTAATTAAAATGCAACATTTGTCCCTGTTTTCAAAAAAGCAGCCATGTACTTTGCAAACATGATTGGAGAAATGATAACTGTAGGATAATTCCATGATCAAGCAACCAACTGCCCTACGAATCATTCTGCTTCATCACTCTATGTCTGTGGAGAGAGGAAGGAATGGGCTATGAAAAGCACTGTAAAGGTGTATTTTTGGTGAGTTCTGCAAGTGGCCAAAGGATAGGGAGCACACAGTCAAGAGAGCACTGTCTTGCTTGCATCTGATCGCCACCCACTGAAATGTGCATTACCCTCTTTCAGGAGGAAGTGTGGTTTTTTTCAGGAGACCTACTTGAGTTTCATAACATGAGTTTCATTAAAATCTGTCCTGAGAAATTCTGAGTTAACAGAATGCAGTTCCTATAGCATTAACCTTTCCCAAATGCAGTATGTAGTAATCACAGTTCTGGTAGATTGAGTTTCATGTGAGATCTCAAAATGTTTATTTTACAGCATCCTTTGCTGTGTTTGTGCAGCGTTGCTGTTGCCTCTCTCCAGATGGGAGCCCGCAGGAATGCAGAAGCCAGGTGGTTTGCTCAAGGACATGAGAGTCTGTCTTCAGTGCCGTTAACTGGTGCCTCACTGGCACTTGTGTTAGCTGTGCTTTGGTCTGAGCGGTCACCTGGACTGTGTTTACTTCCCTTTGTGGGCTGCTGGCATTCCTTAATTCCATGTCTTGCAAGAAAGTTCCCCTGAGGATGTGCAGGGCCCTGAGCAACAAGCACAGCGTGAGCGGCTGCAGAGTCTCTTTTGTCCAGAACTCTTATTAGCAGAAGACAACTGCACCCTGTGGTTCTTGGGCTCAGGAAGGATGAGCCTCACTTACGTTTTCTTTCTCAGTTAATTCTGATAGGATTTATCTGTCCTAAGAGTAGGAGGTGGGGAAAGCACAGAGGCTTGGTCTGTGTTCTACCTGAGTAGTGGTTCCAGCTTCAAAAATCAGAACACTGCTTTTGGTGTTGAGAGCTGGTGGTTCTGGTGCTGGGTGGTGGAGCTCTGTCTGAAGCATCACCAGCCTCAGAGTTTTGCATGTGGATGGGAGGCAGAACCCAGGCTGACACTGAGAGCCATTGTTGACTGCAGTGAGGACAGAAACCCAGAGCTGAGCGTAGCTGAGACCTCAGAAGTCTGGGTTCTCAAACCTTTGCTTAAGAGCATGGGATATTTATGGCCTTGATAAAATTAGGGAAGAAAGACGAGGAGCATCTTCTCATGCACTTGTCTAAATGTGTTGGGAAATCCTATTGCTGAGGTTTCCTAAAAGATGAAAAACTTCTCGGATATCTCCCTCAGCATTAAGAGTGTCAAAACATGAAAATTAAAATATCCTCAGAAAAGGGGAAGCCTCAGTGTGTCAATGGCTTTGAAGATCTTGCTGATGTTGGGGTTATGGTTTAGCGTAGTTAGAGTCTGGTTCTTTCATTAGAAAAAACAGAATCAAATGCAAAAATTAAAACAAAATTAACACTTCTTCAGTTTTCTTTGCAAACAAATCAGAAACCTTAAGGCCAGGAGAAGAACACCATGGCTACCAACTAGGATAACTCAGTTTAGGCCTGAGAGAAAGAAATGATAGATCTCTCAAGTATATGCTACCTCACAGGGAGATTGTAATGAAATCCAGGCAGATTGAAGGGAAAAACAAAACCTATTGATTTTATTCCAAGGGAAGAGAGAGAAAAAGAACAGATGTATGGAGTCTTCTGTCCATTCACTGCAATCTGCAGTGCTGACTTAAAAAAGGTAATGGCTTAAGCTTTGTTTCTTCTTGTGCTTCCCTCTGCAGAAATGCCCTGGCTTAGTCACCCAAAAGATTCAGTTTGGGGTAGTAGAGAGGAGGGGGAGCGAGGACCTCACGCAAGAACTGACCTAAACTCTGAGGAGGTTTGTATAATCTAATTTACAATAAAATGGTATTTACAATGTTATCAGACAAAGCTTAGCAGTGTTAAGTTAAACAGCATATAATGTGATTAGTGGGGCAGTCATGCCCATGATGTCATACACATTCTCTGAACTCTTGGAACGGGCAGATAATGTCTCAGGCATTTGTTCTCCTATGACACAGGAAAGGCTCCATGGAGCTCTGGGGGCTGGGAGGGCTCTGTGCATGTTCCCATGTCCCACAGCACTGCAGAGGCTGCTCCCCTTGGCGCAGCACTCAGGGCTGTGGTTGCTCCCTGCCGGCTCTGTGCTGTGGAGTGGTTAAAACAGGCCTTTGGGAATAGTTTAGAAGCTTGAAATTCTATTCTTGACTCTGCCGCAGACTTGGGTTTTGACCACTAAATCTTCTTTGCCTCTGGTAACTCCATTTTTAACTAGCAAAGGTAGTCAGCTGTGTCTGTGGAGTGCCCTGAGTGGGAGCTGTATGGAGATGGAAACCACTGGCATTCTGTTCATTATGCAGAACAAATACAGCTAGACCACAAAGAACTTTGCTGTAGCAATTTCACAGCTAGTAATGGCCCATTCAGAGAAAATTAAATCTTTATCTTTCTGCCTCTCCAAGGCATGCAAAATGGTATTAAAAATTTTGGCTAATCTAATTAATATGGATAAGCAATATAAATCTCAGCTATAGATTCACATCAAAGATAATCTAGACTGGGTTTATTTTAAAGTGTGTTTTGCTTTAAAAAAAACTCTTGCTGAAAGCTACTGAATGAGGCAAAGCTCCCTTTAAATTTTCAAGTTATTGTAGTGGTTGTGAAAGGACAAATTCTGGAACATTTTAAGAGTATTTGACTCCCCCATGTCCATCAGGGACAATAAGCCCATATTGCTTCATGCATGTTAATGTTTAATAGAAACACGAAGATTGCATAAACATTCTTTCTGCCGTGGTGTGAAGGCTGTATAAATTGTTTAACTCTGGTGTAGAGATTGACTAGATAGTATTCCTGTTTTCAGTGATGCATGGAATGAATGTGGGCTAGCCTGGAGTTCAAATGGGAGTTGCAGATGTGGAGAATGAGATGGGGGCTGCATACAGAGCTGAAAAAGCTGAAGAAAAGTGATGGGTTATGGTAGATGGGTTGGGATGGGGGAGATCCTTCAGGCCTGGCTCAGTCCATACCTGGAAGATGTATGCCCTTCCACCCTTCCCCCCACCACGTGGCCCAGAGACCCCACAATGGAGCACTCACCAGACCACCAGGGAAGAGACGGACGAAAGAGGAAGTTTATTGTGGGATGGGGGCTTATATAGCTCTTGGGAGGGTCAAAGGGGACCAATCACAGGTAAGGGGGTCTTACAATCAGGTAAGGAGTTTACAGCCAAATAAGGAAAGGGTTGACAAAGGACCAATGGGAGCACCTTGGGACATCTTCCCAGGACACTCCTGCCTGAGAGATAAGGGGTTACACAGAAGGTATCGGGAAAAGCAGTGACTCTGCAAAGAGCCATCTTAACACATGTTTAAATAACATTAAAAACTTCTGACTCACCAGTCCATCTTTGGCAGGACTTTTTCCATATATCCATTGCTACAATGGGCAGGAAGGAACAAGTGAGCTTGGGAACTATGGCTCGTGCAATGTCAACTCTATTGTATGTTAACTGCAACACTTGCATGATGCCCATCTTTTCTCCCGAGCAGTCGCTGCCTTGGCTGCAGCACTGCTGTGTGTTTATGGCAGGGGTGGGATGTGTTGAGAAGTGCACACAACAGTTTGGTTTGGTGGCACAGGGATGCCAGCGAGAATAAAGCTTTGCTGTTCAGAAAGCTAAGCCAAGCTTTTGTCTCTGTGGCTGATAAATCAGGAGCAGGGGCCAAGTGTAATATGAACAGAGCATTGGCCAGTCTGGTCAGACATGTGGGATGTACTAACAACAACAGGGAATGAAAGCAAAGCCTGCAGGTAGACACCTTTTAAATAATCAAGGCTGACAGTTTTACTACAATGGCACAGTTTAACACTTTGTAGGTATGTTCTACAGTATAAGTGCTGCTTATATTAAGTAGTCTGCAAGCATTACACAGCTTATTTAGAGGAGAAGTTTTATTTCAAGCATTTTTATGTTTGTTAATATAATTAAAAATGTAATATCTTTTTGTTGCAGATGGTATTGCCAAGGGATGACTCTGAATGATGTACCAGAAAGACATTTAAATGACCTAGATTAAACTCACAGAGGACTGTGCATTCCAGATATGTTCTCAAACAGGGAGCCTTTCCAGGAATAAGTATTTCTGACACTCCTTATTAAAGACATGTACAAATACTTATGTGATACCTGGGCAGTCAGAGAAGCTGTGTGGAGGCAGATTGCACACAGTGCCTTGAGTCCTGAGGACTGGGCTGGGTTATGGACACCCTGCACACTGTGATAGGATGTTCTGTCCCAAGCCTCAGTTCACCTCTCTGGAAAAAGCATGTGATGCCTTGTGCAGCAACTGGCCTAGGAAAAGTATTTTGAATTTCTAGTGACAAAGACCAATTAGGGACATACACAGTCCTTAAAGCAAAAAACTTCACAAACTGTAGAGCCTGAAATCTCAGTGAGCAAAATGCCTTCCTCCCAGCTCTCACAGGAAGCAAGTTAATTGGGAGGCCAATAACTATAATGAGGCAGAACCTGGGGTTTTGCGTGTGTATAGTGAGATCCTCCCCTTGGGGCCAAACTCCTGTTCCATATTATGAAAGCAGTAAAAGGTCCCCTCAGCAGGTGCTGCATAAAGGCATTTCAGCTTTGCCTTTGCAGTGCTGGAATTGCCAAGCTATTGCTTTCCTGAGTCTCCAAATGAATTCCCCTACTCAATGTGGAACAGCTGTGTGAGAGATACAGCCTTGAGAAAAGGGGTGGCAAAGGAACGCAGCAAATGGGGATTTAATCAAATAGCACAGGGCTGCAAAACGACATCAGCGTGTTCCTGCTCAGCTTTCTTTGGGTAAGGGAGACCCTCTCAGTGTCAAAGTTCAGAGAGGAGAGGTAACATGTGCCATTGAGGCCTTACTGTGTGACGAGAGTAAGTGAATAGCACTGGCTGTGTCCATTCACGGCTCAATAACAGCAGGGTTACCTGCAGTGATGCCCAAGAACTTTACATCCTGGAGAGAGATGGTTCTCTTTTTACCCACCTGAGTGTGGCTGCTGCCTCTGCAGAGCTAACACAGGATGGCTGCCCCAAGCACCCAGGCTTTGGCCATTTGAGCCAGGAAGGGGATTAGGAACTGTGATGAGATGGGATAAGTCTGAGAGGGTGGAAGGAGTGCTTCTAGTAGACTTTAATTAGGACATTCCTCCATATATGACTGTAGAAGTAATTGCTTTCTTCCTCATCGAAGCCTTCCAAAACATGGCTTGCAACAAAAAAAAGCTGTGTCAGGTGAGAAAAGATTATATTAAGGACCGCAAATTGAGAGAGTTACTATTTTTCACTTGCACTGCTTTTATTTAATACTTTTTGAAAGGAAAGTTTGTTGTGTGTCTAGTCTACCTATGTGAATTTTCAGAGTGCTTCCTAAGAGGTTTTTGGCAATCTATCAACCTTATCAGATACTGACTGTGCCTGTTTGATGTGAGTGATTGCTTAGTTATAAGTGTTATGTCTGAAATATAAAACAGACAGGGAGAAAAGGAAAATGAAGAAGAGTTTGTAACAGGCAGAATATAGCTGGCTAATTACTGTGGCAGGATAATGTCTTAGAAAAATCCACACCATTATCAAACTGCCATTTTTTCTTGTTTCCATGACATAAAATTTCTTTGAAATCTTTTGGTTTAGAGTGTGTATGCACTTTAAATAGTGATCAGAGCTAAACAGCAGCATCTGTCAGAGAAGATAAGTGACCTACCAGCAAATCCTCTCAGTTAAAAGCAAGAGAAAAATCTATGGAGTAGGGGAATGAGTTTTAAATTAGTAATTTCACTTAACTTTGCCCTAATGAAGGGCTAATCTTTGGACCCCTGCAAAACAAATGAGAGCATCTAGTTAGATCCAGCGGAAACCGGTCATTGAAAAGGCTTTTTCCTTATGAAGCCTAATTGGAAGCAAAGTAATTCCTTTGATAGCTGTCTTCATTTACCAGTAACTTTCCCTCTCCCTGATTTATGTACAGTAAACTAAGGACTCTGTTAATTACAAACACATTTGCGTGTTTGCAGATTGACAAGTAACTCTGCCTGGGTGAGCCTGGCTGGAGCAGTCCCAGCTGAGGTGCAGAGATGTGCAGTGCCAGTTCCACGGGGGCTCCTGAGCACACACAGCCTCCCGTGGAAGGCACTGAGGGAACGGCTCCAAAAAGAGCTTTTCCCGGATGTTGAGGCAGCAACGAGCTCAGGGTGAAGTGCAGAGTGGGCCACTGTGGAAATGAGCTAAGTTTCCACGAGTTAAAATCTGACCTGGGATTTCAAGGGTATTTTATTCATTAAACTAGCTTACTCTTCTATTTTTATACATAATGGCAAAATAATTTTTTTTCCTCAAATTTGAAGGAATTATAGAAAAAACATTGGACACTTGATTGCCGTAGAAGCAGGATTGTGCCTGTAAGGCAGAGGGAAGGAATGTGTCAGTCATTGCCCCTCTAAAACATGGACTTATCTTGATTATAGTGTTAGCTTGGTAGTAGAATATGATCTCATCACTGTGAAAGATTACATGAAGTATCAACTTGGCTGGCCTTGAAACAGCTCTATTCTCAATTGCATTTTCCATTGCTGCAGCTGACATGGGGTTCTGTAATTTGAAGAGACGGCCATAAAGATGGCTTGCAGAATTTGTACTAGGTATTCAAGTAAAAAAATTCAGGAATGGATTAAAGCACGGCTGCCTCTGGTGTTTTCTCTTTGTTTATTTTTTGTGGTTGGTTTGGTTTGGTTTTGAGAATGTCAAGACCTAGCAAAACTTGAACACCCTTAACTTTACAGTACTTAGAAT